TTCATTATCAATGAATTGTTATGAATTAGAAAAAGAGTCCTCATAAAAATACAATAATATAGGATGATACTGAGTTTTCTATACCGCATTAATTATAATAATTATTACAAGTTTATGCAATTTCAAAACCATTGTTTTGATTGCAGTAAACTTTTAATGCATTAACTCATCCTTTACAGATATTTATTATATTATATAAATTAAAGGGACACTATAGCCACAAAAACAGCAGCTTAATGAAACAGTTTCGGTGTATAGATCATGCCTCTGAAGTCTCACTGCTCTTTTTTCTGCCATTTAGGAGTTAAATCACTTTTTTTCCTGTTTATGCAGCCCTAGCCAAACCTCCCATTTCTGTGACTCACACAGCCTGCATGAAAAAAATGGTTTTAGTTTCAATTAGATCTTCACTTACTTTAAAATGTGTCTCTCCTGCTCTGTAAATTGAACTTTAATTGCATACAGGAGGCTCCTGCAAGGTCTAGCAGGCTATTGGCAGAACAGGAAATAATAAAATCTAAACAAAACAGAATTTTCAATAAAGGTAGTGTAAACATCATGTGTCTCTTTACAGGAAGTGTTTAGGAAGGCTGTGTAAGTCACATGCAAGGAGGTGTGACTAGGGCTGCATAAACAAAGTGAGTTAAGTCTTAAATGGAAGCGAATTGAGCAGTGAGACTTCAGGGACATGATCTATACACCCAAACTACTTCATTAAGCTAAAGCTGTTATGGTAACTATAGTATCCCTGTAAATATTTGCTTACATACCAAAAATATACTTTTTTTGTCACATGTAGTAGGTATTACAAAATGTTCAAAAACCATGCTCATGTACCCACATGTGTTAAATACAATTATACAATGCAAATCATTGCTGACTGCTGATGATTGCAATCTGTAATAAAACCACTTGCTCAGAGCCCCCCTGGTAGAATGCTTCAATAGTTTTTGAACTCCAAAAGGTGCTGTAGCATAGGCGTGCGCAGCCTATTGCATTAGGGTGTGCACCCTAAAGCACAAACACACGCCGCGCGTGTGTGTGTGTTTATATATATATATATATATATATATATATATATTCACAGACATACACACTCACAGACACACACTCACACTCACAGAAACACACACACACTCACAGACACACACACACTGACACACACATACTCACACACTCACAGACACACACACACACACTCACTGACACACACACTCACAGACACATACTCACACTCACAGACACACACTGACACACACTCACAGACTCACAGACACATACTCACACACTCACAGACACACACACTGACACATACTCACACACTCACAGACACATACTCACACACTCACAGACACACACTGACACACACACACACTCACACACACTCACTGACACACTCACAGACACATACTCACACACTCACAGACACACACTGACACACTCACAGACACACACACACACTGACACACACTCACAGACACACACTGACACATACTCACACACTCACAGACACACACACACACACAAATTATTATATTTTTAAAAAAAATTTAAATGTCCACCCAGCCTCCTACCTGGAGTGCTGGTGGACTTGTCCCTGGGGTCCAGTGGGGGCGGGCGCCTCTCTGCAGGTCAGCGCGCGGCGAGGGAGCTCTCTGCTCTCTGCTTCCTCTCGCCGCGCGGGCTGTCTGCTGCAGCTGGGAGCCGGAATATGACGTCATATTCCGGCTCCCGGCATCAGCGCGCGGCGAGAGGAAGCAGAGAGCAGAGAGCTCCCTCGCCGCGGCTGAGCTGCAGGGTGGAGGGGGGAGGGGGAATCATCACCTCTTGCCCTCCCATGACAGGGGCAAGAGGTGAAACAGGGGACACTGAGTGCCTGCAGGAACAGCGTTCCTGCTCAAAAAAAGTGCAGGAACGCTGTTCCTGCAGGACTCAAACCATAGGCGTGCGCACGGGGATTAGGGTGTGCCCAGGCACACCCGGCACACCCCGTGCGCACGCCTATGGCGAAAATACAAGCTGGACACCAATTATCTACCCCTTAGAGGGGTACATATAGCAGGGGAATTCCATGAGAGACTCCATCCAGCTGAAGAAGCCTGTATAAGCGAAACGCGTCCCTGGAATAAGACTGAGACTTTGGACCTTTGGAATTTTTATGCCAATTTAACTTTATTGATTCTTTATATATATATTTTTATACTGTTATTGTTTATAATAAATATTGTATATTTTTTTATCTACATTATTGGCATTATCCCTGCTACTTTTTTAAAGAAGGTGTGTGGTCCTTAACCACACAAGCTCTCAGACCAGAGCCGATTTGGATGGCTCTAAGTTTGTAAGTACCCCATCTTAGTTACTATTTACACCTAAGATCAACAGTACGGCATCATATTTGTTTTCTTTCATTCTAATAGAATACAAGAAGCACTTATATCCAAGAAGGGTGAGGGTCGCCTTTACTGAACCCCAAGAGCGCTAAGATTGAGCTATTATACATTAGCTCCTAAAAGTGTGAGTGGGAATTTATCCCTTCCTTTTTATAATTTAATTGCATTATACAGTATACACTATGTTTGGTTTGTCTGTTTTTTATGTTTTGTAGAAACGAAAAACTGGGAAGATTTATTTAAAGACATTTTGAGGTACTGCCTTCTTTCCACCCTCTCTCTTTTTTATCTCCATTATTACGCCTATCTGAATACAGCGCTACACCTATCCAGTGTTTTCAAGTTCTTATTTTCTAAAGATATCTAGGTGTTATAGTAGCTTTATTTATTACAATGACTTCTCATTTAGAGTGTTATTATTATTTTGGAATATCAGCACTGGTACACCCTTCCTTCTCTTTTTAGAATAAAATAAAGAATTGAAAAAATAAAAGATAGTTTGCATATTTCTCAAAAGGGAACAAATGTTCTCAGCAATCAGTTTAAGGTTTTGCTAGAATGTATTTAAACTAGGGAGGGGGCAAAAGGGTGATAACACATCAACCCAATAGCCCCCCAGAAGTCACGTGGGATGGCATGATGACATGAGGACGCTGTCATGTATGTACGTAGTGGGCATTGGATAGCATTCCCTTCATCCCCCATAAAACCATAATTTACCCCTTCAAATAACGACAGACAACTTCTTGGAGAAAACAGGCCACAGCATTTATTAACACAACCAAATACTGCATGACTCCTTTAACATGTAACAAAATAATAAATATCATAAATTAACATAAACAATTTGCATATAGTCATACAGTAACCAAAGAAACCGTCCTTGCCAATCTAACTTCCCCAAGGCTCTCACCTCCCCCCCTCGGCATAATAAAAACATCTTCCTTTTCAGGTCTCCCCACCAACTCGGTGAAGCCCAACCATAATGCTCCCCACTGGTCGACTTACAACCCAGTGGGGACACATCCAACCTGGTACCCCCTCCAGGTTCACCATAAGAGACAGGGGAGTATGAGACCCGGCCATTATCCAATTTTTTCATCTAATCTACCAAACCATCCCTTATTTGGCAAGGACACACCCCCGCCTACCTGTGACAACCCCCCCGGGCCCAAAGCAGCAAAGGGAGGGTGGGTGGGAAACTTGTTGCTTGCCCGGCTCCTAAGTGGCACTGAGGTCAGTCTGATCTGTCACCACCCACTTCCTCACATCTCCCACATGTAGCATATAGACAATCATGCATCATCCATCCCACACTCATACATGTGCCCCTGTCCGCTAAGCTGTACACTCTCCCTGGGGCCTTGTATGTACGTAGTGGGCATTGGATAGCATTCCCTTCATCCCCCATAAAACCATAACTTACCCCTTCAAATAACGACAGACAACTTCTTGGAGAAAACAGGCCACAGCATTTATTAACACAACCAAATACTGCATGACTCCTTTAACATGTAACAAAATAATAAATATCATAAATTAACATAAACAATTTGCATATAGTCATACAGTAACCAAAGAAACCGTCCTTGCCAATCTAACTTCCCCAAGGCTCTCACCTCCCCCCCTCGGCATAATAAAAACATCTTCCTTTTCAGGGCTCCCCACCAACTCGGTGGGGCCCAACCATAATGCTCCCCACTGGTCGACTTACAACCCAGTGGGGACACGTCCAACCTGGTACCTTCTCCAGGTTCACCATAAGAGACAGGGGGAGGATGAGACCCGGCCATTATCCCCCTTTTTCATCTAATCTACCAAACCATCCCTTATTTGGCAAGGACACACCCCGCCACAACCCCGCTGTTTTAAGCCTAAAATCAGGGGGTGACCCCAAACAAACCAACCATGGCCTGTTCCACCATCTCTAGAATGGCCAGATTAAACGGTTGAGCCCGACCTCAGTCAAATGAACCCCATCCGGCCGCAACAAATCTGACGCCTCCTTCTCAAAACCTGATGAAATAGGCATCCCCCAAACCCCTAAAATGAACGGTGCGCTCCAACGCACTCCAGATGTGTGCCTACCGCCAATAGTTCCTCGCCACAACCTCCGACCACACCATGCAAAAACCCCCGGAAATGACATAAGGATCTGGGACAAGTCCCGCTTCCCTATGTCCACCAAGTCACCGAGCGGCACCGTCCCCTGGGGGAATGACCAGAACCAACGACACCCCCCTGCAAGCGAGAGAACCTGACCACTTCTGGGAGGAGCCAGACCCACTTCACGTCCCCCCGGCGCCGAACCACCACACCTCCACTGTCGAGTGCTCAATCATCCGCCCTGAGAAGAAAAAAACAAACAATCAATGGAGCAAACCAGCGTCCTGCACACCGGAACAAATCTCCTAGTCCCGAGTCCCACCTTCTTATCCTACGCACATCCCGAGTCAGCATACCCAGCTGAGAGGCCTCCGTCGCAGCGCCAATGCGGAAAGAATGACCGCCAAACAAATTGAAAATGGGAGAGGAAGTTCCCCTCCTCGTGTACCATGATCGGGCCAGCCAGGTACGGCCATACTGCGGACTCCCTGAGCGCCCAGACCAGACAGGTGTCCAATCCTGGGACCGCTGCCAGCGAGACCCACCTGCCCTTGCAAAGGATGTCGCTCTTGTATGGACGAGTCTTGAAGGACACCGGGTCCTGACCATCCCGGACATCCGCAAACAGAAACCTGCCCTACCGGCTGACCAGCTAGGACCCACCAATACCCCAATCCTCATGGCCCCAAAGAAATGAAGAAATGGCGAGGCATACCTCTGGGAGCACCTGGCACAATTGTGCCCAAAACCGCCCCCTTTTTGGATCCAGAGAAATCGACCCCTGCACGGGCCCTACACCGCAAGCCATACCAGAAACTCCGTGGTGACCGCCACCCAAATCTGGGACTTCACCAGAAAACTAAACTGGACACGCGCAAGGACACCCCGGAGGGCGACATATCCGCCAAAACCCAACGCTCCAGCAGTCACAACAGACCTTGTAACGAGCAGGCGAACCCGCAAATACACCCACCTCTGACTCCCATGCCTGCCATTCCACCCATACCCTGGAGTAGCTTGGCCCAAGAGGAACCGGACCTATACGACACATGAAGACACGGGCACCGGAGCACCAGGCGCTGGAGCAGGGGAAGTTCCAAACAAGTAAAGGGGGAACGAGAGCTGGCTAATCGCCTGGACAACCCCGAGGATGGCACGGTGAATAACAGCCGACTGTCCTGTAACTCCCAACCCCATAAATCCAATGCCACCACAACAGGAAAGCTCCAGGAAGGCAAGATTCCTGGTCAAGCCGCTGACCATGTCAGCACACTAGCGCAATCCCAGAATCACCCCAACCAGACAGAGCCAGCCACGTCCATATAGAGGGGCAAGTCCGAACTGGACACTTCCGGCGCCTGCCAAGATAACCTTCCAATATACTCGGTCAGGAAGGAAACACAGACCTCCAGAGCCGGATAAAATGCTGCAGTCCCAGTAGTTGCGACCACCAGGCGCCTGCGGGACAATTGCCCCATGGGCCTGATCCGGCAGTGGAAGGTCAACCTCCCTAACAGGGACTGCAACTTGCACAGCTGCATCCTCCTCAGACCCCTGGCCATCGCCACACCCTCTCAACCTTATCCCATGGCAGCCAGTACTACATGGCCACAGAGTCAATTTTGATACCCAAGGAGCTAAGGCACGTCACTGGGCCCCACTGTCTTATCGTGCTCTAAGAGGACCCTAAAGCTCCGCCGAGTTGAGCAAGAGTCGACAAGTCAGCGAAGGCCCACAAACAAAAGCCATCAAGGTAATGCAGCAACGAACCAATCCTTGCCTCCAGCCGCACCACCCACTCCAGGAAACCCTGACACACCCAACGTAAAAGCAGGACATGAACAACACATCGGGAAGCACGTCTCCTCATAATACTGACCACAAACCCACCCCCCAGGAGGATGACAATCCATATGAACTGGCAACAAGCGAAACGCGGCTCCGACGTCGGCCTTCGTTAGCAAAGCCCCAGGGCCCACTGCCCTGACCATGCATACCGCAGCATCAAAGGATGCCTAGGACGCCCAACATCTTTCACTGAAACCCCTTGAGGGCAGGGCAAACGATGTAGCAGTGCCCCTCCTACTTGGGCACCAGGCCCAAGGGGGACCTGCAACTTGGGGAGCGACAGGGCCTCAACTGACCCCGCGAACCACCCCAAAGCTACCTCCCGCAGGAGCTCATCCAGCACCATCTGCAGGAAGTCGAGCACAGACATAAACATAGAATGTGACGGCAGATAAGGACCATTCGGCCCATCCAGTCTGCTCTGTTTTCTAACCACTGACATTAGTCTCTGGCCTTATCTTATAGGTAGGACAGCCTTACACATATCCCACACCCACTTAGACTCCTCTACAGTGTTAACCTCTACCACTTCAGCTGGAAGGCTAGTCCATGCATTCGCTACCCTTCTGTTCACATAATACATCTGGGTACAATTGTGAAACCTTCGCCCCTCCAATTTAAGACTATGTATTCTTATTGCGGAAGTTTTACTTCTTTTAAACATAGACTCCTCCCTACTGCACTGATTCCCTTTAAGTATGTAAATTGTCTATCATATAGCGACTTTCACGCCGGGCGCTCTGAGAAGGAGATCCCGAAGTCTCGGGTGACCCCCTCCAGCAGGGGTCCCATGGCCTGCCGATTCCAGTAGCGGTCAAGCCATTGGTGCATCGTGCTTACGAGCACTGGCGTCGCCGCCCTGCGCCCCCACGTCCCCTTTTTCCCCCGTACTTACCCCTCTTGAAACAGCAGGAGGCAGAGTGAGCCCCCACCACGATGGGAGCATTTGAGCTTAAAACAGCATGACCTACCCCACTTACATCAGCTGACGTTCAACTCCCCGCAACAACCTGGCCTCCCCAACCACGCTCTCCAAAATAGCAAACCCCAAACTCAAACCCCCCCTTGTGCCCCAGGGGAAGAGCATCCCCCCCAAGGGCCAAAGGGGAATATCTTGCGCGACTGCGCAGGGGAGAGGGGAGCACAGCCCCAATGAGGAAGAGGCCCAACTCTCCTCCAATTGTCGTGCTGAGGACTGAGCGCACTGCCCCCCACCCACCGGTGGAGGCACCGTTGTGCCAGGAGGGTACTACATTGAGCGCAGCTGACCGTTACCCTTTGATTTTTTTTGGTTAGGTTGTAGAAAATTATTATAATTTTTTTTTTTTTTTAAATAAACCCAACATGAACCCACCTAGTGCAATCGCCCCAGCCAGCGCAGGAAAACATTACTCACCTGACGGCACCCCAGGAACTGCTGGCGGCACCATAGAAGAGACAGCAGCTTGAAAAGGGGAGTCCATCACCTGCAGCGCAGTTCCCATGGCAACTGGAGCTTCAGACGCCACCTGCTGGACGGATCCGGCAACTGCACCCAAAGCCTGAAGCAGCAGTGGAGAGATGAAGAGCCAACGCTCCAGGACAGGAGGCTGCCGAGACAGGTAGGGGAGGGAGGGAGGGGTGGGGGTGGGGGGGCAAGGAAGTTCTGCAAGGAGGAGGGGGGAGAACAATAAAGAAAGAGGAGGACACAACAAAGAAAGAGGGGGGAGAACAATAAAGAAAGAGGGGGGAGAACAATAAAAAAAGAAAGAGGAGGAACACAAATAGAAGAGGGAGATACCACACAGAAAGGGACGGGGGGAGGGGAGGAGGGGGGGAAGGGAGCCCACACCACACACGGACCCTGCCCGGGCAAAAGAGGGAGGGTACAGAACCCCTCCCCACCCGGTGGCAGCGGGCGAGAGCCACCCAGTGGGGGCCCACTTACCACTGCCGGCCGAGAGGGGAGGACCCCGGACGGCATTCCACACGCCGCCCGGGTCGATTGCCGAGCTTCCGCGTCCCCCCCACTACCTCCAGGGGGGGCACGGTCCACAGCAGATGCGAAAGGACCGGGCGCGGAGCAGGCCGCACGCCACGTGGTCCAGGCGCGCGGCCCTGTTGAAGACTCGGGCCCGGGCTGCAGGTCCTGTACCGGGCCCGAGGAGGAGAGTTGGGGCTCACAGAGCCCGAGGCAGGGTGCCCATAGAGGGAGACACAGGCAGGGTGCCCATTGAGGGAGACACAGGCAGGGTGCCCAGGGAGAGCCAGACCGCTGGGGAGGGGAACCTCACCACCAGGCCGCTGGGGATGGAGGAGGCCACCGTCTGCAGCACCATTACCTGGCACACAGGATGGCTGTAAAACCATGATCCAGCATCCAGGGCCCCCAGGCAGAAAATCCAGCAAGCCCAGCAACAGGAGGAGGCAGAGAAACTTGTTGCTGGCCCGGCTCCTAAGTGGCACTGAGGTCAGTCTGATCTGTCACCACCCACTTCCTCACATCTCACACTCCCACATGTAGCATATAGCCAATCATGCATCATCCATCCCACATTCATACATGTGCCCCTGTCCGCTAAGCTGTGCACTCTCCTGGGTGCCTGGACATAAGGGCGTGTTGGAGTGCTGAGAGAGGAGAGGGAGGCGGGGTGTATGCAAGGTGCAGGTTGATTCTCCAGCTAAATGAATTAACCAGCTTAACAGATCGTAATAGTCAGGAATTGAATCGCAGAGTAAGGAAGGTGCTGCAACAAAGGTGACTCTGGCAACCAGGAACAAGGCTTTAAAAAGCGGGAACGCAATCGCGACAGTGACAGGGAAAATGAGAAGAAGCAAGGAGTGCTCCCAGAAAACGCCAGATATCTGCTGGATAGACAGTAAATGTGTTAATTGGGAGACTGTGCAGAGAGTGTGATGGCAAGGGAAAAAATTAAGGAGAAAGGGGGAAAAAAAGGGGGAAAACAAGGTAAACTATAACTCTGAATACTAAAAGGTAAAAACAGAAACATACTGTATTGAATTTGAGAGGTGATACAAGCCATAAAGTCTCCATAGCTAAACGAATATCTCTCCTGAACCCCCTTGATTTGCTTATGAGGAACTAACAGGGGGGAAAAAAGGAGGGAGAGGGGAAATAAAGAAAAAAGAAAAAAAAGGGGCAGCCTGCAAGTTATACTCCTGCTGTGAGTGTTTGTCCTGTCTTTGAAAGATCAGCAAAGAAAATTAGGAAGGAGACGGGGAGTGTTATTTGAAAAATGAAGTAGAGTCACTGTATCAGAACATAAAGAAACAGTATTAAAGTTGCACTGTCATGCCGAACTTACCTTTCTTTAATCGTTTCCTCTTCTCTCCCTCTGTCAGGATCAGTTCTTCATTTCTTCCTGTCTTCTCTAATTTTCTTGACCAGCGGAGGAACAAAGTTTGCTCCGTTTCCTGTGGTCAAAGCAATATTCCCAAAATTCTCACCTTTTCTTCCATGTTCTTCCTCCTTTCCGTGTTCCCGAACGCCAGCAAAACTACCGAATTTTGTCCTAACAGGATGAGACCAGTTCGTCAATTTGTTTAAGGACGAAATTTGGGACTTTTGTTCGGTTCGAAATTTCATTTTAATGAATGACATTTCGATCTGATCGCAGCTGCATCTTGCAGCCGCTTAGTAGATAGCTATCTACCAAAAGGCTGAAAGACCTAAATTGGTCTTTCAGCCAACTTTACTAATACTAAGTGAAAATTACTTGGTATTAGAAATTAATGTGCTCCTACTCGCTATATTGCGAGTAGGGGCAAGTCTAGTAAACAGTGAGCAGCCTGTAAAAAACATTTAAATAAATAACCCCCCTCAACAGAAAATGGGCCCATGTTGGGGCATCTTTTAACTAGCCTGGTGGGAACATAATGACCACCTGTGACCTGCGAGTAGGGGCTATTCAAGTAAACGGGGGACATGGGGTCCCTCTTGGCCCTCACCCCTGAGAGGTGGGTGGGGGCCCTAACTTACAATATTGTGCTCCCTCCCTTTTTCAGCCTTTTTTGGGGCTGAAAAAAGATTTTAGAAAAAAGACAACATCAAATGGTAAGTTATTTTTTATTTACAGGTATTTAGTGTTCTTGATCCCCCCTCA